GCCCATCTTATGGGCAAGACTCCTCGATTAAATGTGCCTCAAGGCTCCTATTTGAGAGCAATACAAATTTTTTTTTTTTTTTTATAAATAACGTGGGGTGCCTTTCAAAAATAAAAATAAAAATAAAAAAATAATGAGGGGTGTTTGGGGAAAAGAAAATTCTTTTTTCAAAACGCCAATCTCAAATGATGCTAAAAGCAGCGTTTGAAATTTCAGTGATTTGGAACAAAACACTACTCCAAACTGTAAGTTACCAAACTAGATTTTTTGTTATTTTGACTTTGTCAAAGCGTAAAAAATGGCGAATTCACCAAAGTCTGGGCAGATTCGCCATTTACCAAACAAAGTCATGAGTGCGTGTATAGAAAAATATTACATTTTAATTAAAAGGTATTATACATTTCACATGAAAATCATCTAGCACAAGACTTTCTTCTTCTTCTTCATCTTCTTCTTTTTTTGATTAGGGAAACCTGCAGCCACTATCCGAGGGTATGCATTGCGTAAAGTTATAAATCACACATTATGACCCTAGCTGGTAAAAGACCATAAAAAGATAAACCAACCTAGGTTACTTATATATGATCATATTAAATCAAGAAGGTCAATAGTCCGCTCTCGCTGGAAATCAAATTTGTAATAGGGAGAGCGGGAGTAAAAATGTGCACTTGTGAATTGTGACTAAGGAATCATGTCAATTTTAGCTCAAAAATGATAAGATTAAATAATAATAATAATAATAATAATAATAATAATAATAATAATAATAATAATAATAATAATAATAATAATAATAATGAGGTATAGGAAAAAAAAATCAATAAGAAAATTAATTGATAGCCCAAAACTGATAAACTCGATCGAAACTTGTTAATTATACAGTGGACCATGATCGTCAAATGAACATGTAGTAGAATTAAAATGATATTTTATTATTGTTATAATGAAACTTTTGTGTGTGAAAAATGAAACTAAAAAATAGAGATTATACAATAACGTATATTGTCAAATGAAATTGTAATATAATTAAAATAATATATATTTTAGTATTACTATATTGAAATTAGTGTGTGAAAAAATGAAATTAAAAAATAGAATAATATTATCAAATGAAACTAAAGTGTAATTAAAATGATACTTAGTTCATAGTTCACGCTACTACATGGATCATGGTTCACAGTAAAATTTGCCTTGATATATAATTTGAGTTAGCTAACTCGCTAGTCTAAGCTGCTCAAAGCTACTTTTTATTTTATATATAGGAGCATGTCTATAGGTTACACTCCCTTTCAGCCTTCTTGTTGTAGTCGTTATTACGTTTTAAAATAAAATTTTAATACATATTTTAAAAAATTACAAAATAAACTATTGTTTATGAAAAGATAAAAAAAAAATATTATAAATTTAGTATTACAAATGTGAACAAATTAATTTATTTGTTAAAGTTTTAAATAAACGCAAATTTATTTGTTACTATGAAAAATTTATTTATATACTCAATATTTTAACAAATGTTTATAACTATTATTTTAACATATGGGTCGCCTTTTATGGCGACGGAGAATGCGATCTGGGTCGCCTTCTCCAGCGACTGGAGAACGCGACCCATTTGGTTGCCTTCTCCAGTCGTCGGAGTAGGCAACCAAACAACACCGGCGAATGTTTCGTCGGTGTTATTTGCGGAAGTATGATTGAAAATTCGCCGAAACTCTAGTGACTTGTAATTATAGGTTACCAACAGATTTTTGAGCCTCAATACTCTAAAACGATATGTTTAAGTGCTTAATTGTAACATTTGAAAGTTGAAGGGTCTATTGACTTCTTGAGTAATGTTCAGGGGCTTATTTGACTGTTTTCCTTTAATTAAATGATGTTTTGATTTTATATATATGTGTTTGTGTGTGTGTGAGAGAAAATTGAAAATTTAAGATATTAATATTAAAAAAAATTAATTGAGCATGATCGACAAGTCAGATAGTCACATGTTTTAAAGTTAAGGCAAAAAATGTAAAAATCAGCCTGATTAACCCAAAACAAATAGGCTTGATGACCATTAACAAATTAGCATGTTAGTGTGAAATGACAAATTTTAATATGACCATAGTCTATATAGTGTTGTGTAGATCATAAAAAAGTACATTTTTATTATACTAAGAGTATATTATTTGTGTATTGAATGTACATTATATAAAATAATATACTTTCTCTTAATATAAGATACAATTTTAATATACTAAAAGTATATTATTTAATACAAAATATAAAATAATATACTTTCAATACGTACTCAAATAATATAATATACTTTATATACACAAATAATATATTTTTTATTTGTGGTTCACACAGCTGTGTCGATAAAACTTATTGACATGCTTACTTGTAATAAATATATACTTTTTTATATAAATTATTTATTAAAAAAATAAATTATAAATAACTTCAATCAAATATGGAAATCTCATATGTAATATATATAATATAAAATATGATGTGGGAAGTATTATTTAAATGAGTAAATCAAATCTAAAGAAAATAGTATCCACCATATTCTATGCTTTAATTTTTTGTTTTGAGAAGCAATCTACGAAATCTAGATGATTCAACGTGCCATGTAATCATGGGTAACACAAAGTGACGATATCTTCTTTTGCCGGTCAAAGTTGAGTATATCTAATTGCCCATCCATACAAGCATTCCAATTTCTAAGATGTACGTCTCCAAAAACTTTCACCTTCCCTTAAATAATATTATAACACCTTACACCTTGTCTCAATCCAACTAAATATACAAATTTATCACATAAATAATCCATATCATCGTATACTATTTTTGTATATCAATTATTATAAATCAAGAGCAACCCAATAGCATTTGTTTAAAAAAAAATAGAATAATAATTTAGATGAAAAATTCAAAATTTAAAATTTTGATAATTTAATATCAAATATTTGTGTCTAGTGAAATCATGTCTAAATGTACTCATTTTGTCAAATTTATCCTCATGGACCTCATGTCCTAATTTTAGTAAATCAGATGTAAAATGAGATAGAAGGAATTTTTTTTATTCTTCATTTTTTATCGGTCAAGATTTTGTAATGATCTCCAGATTTTCACTAGGATTGTCTTTAGACTATTGTTGAAATAAAATTTTAAGGTAATTGATCAAACTAATTGAACTAACTCATTATACAAAAAAAAAGAAGAAAATTTCAATTTTGGTCATATGACTATAGTGACTTTGTTAATTTCAGCACTTGACTTTTAAAAGTGTCAATTTAGTACCTTGACTATGCAATTTTTATCAATTTTGGTCACTCCGGCCAAATTGCCGGAAAATATTAAAAGGTAAAATAGTGAGGATAATTTTGTCATTTTATATCTCTTTTCTTTCTTCTTCCTGGAGAATATGCATAGTCATCGGAGATCCACACGCGTTTCGCCATTTCCCGAAACAAGAGAAGAACCCTGTCGCCGAAACTCCCCAGATTTCACCATTTTCCGATGATCACAGTCGCCACCGAAAAGAGATTCTTCCATGGTCGGATGAACCAGCGATTCTTGCTGCAAAACCTCACGAATGTCGATTTTGGTTTCCGGGCCAGGTAGTCCGCCGCATTCACGGCGTTCACTTCCGTGAATCTGCCCGACAGTATTCTCTGTCTTTTCTACGAATCTTGCAACGCCTCGCGCGGAGATGCTGAAGTTGGGTGGTTGAAACCGTCGAACATCTCCCGACAAACATACGATTCGAACGTGAAACATTGGCGATTTTTTAATTTCAAGAACGCGGCGGAATCAGGATGTCGCGTCCAAACCCCACCCTGCAGATTCCATCTCCCAACACAGCTCCCGGACAAAACTTCGGAAAACACTGTTTAAGCTCCGACAACAGCTTCAACTCCGTCACCACGGTTAGAACTCCGGAGTTTTTAGTGTTCCTCATGCTACCGGCTCTCCAACGACTCTACGGCGGGTTCTTTGGGAAGAAGAAAGAAAGTAACGTAAAATGACAAAATTATCCTCACTATTTTACCTTTTAATATTTTCCGGCCAAATTTGACCGGCAATTTGGCCGGAGTGACCAAAATTGATAAAAATTGCATAGTCAAGGTACTAAATTGACACTTTTAAAAGTCAAGTGCTGAAATTAACAAAGCCCCTATAGTCATATGACCAAAATTGAAATTTTCTCTACAAAAAAGTATAGAGTTAATTATCGATTTGGTCCCTCGACTATGAGGATTTCACCAATCTGGTCATTGACTTTTAAAATTCCTCAATTTAGTCATCGACTATGTCTTTTTTACCCGAAATGATCCTAACCGTTAGACATTCGTTAACTCGGGACCAAATTAGTAATTTTGCTATAGTCGATGGACTATTTCGGTCATCACATACACCATTTTCCTCTAAAAGTTAATTACTGAAATGATCCCTTGACTATAGTGAAATTACCAATTTGGTCCTGAGTTAACGGATGTCTAACGGTTAGGACCATTTCGGATAAACAAGCATAGTTGGAGACTAAATTGAAGAATTTTGAAAGTCAAAGATCAGATTGGCGAAATCCTCATAGTCGAGATATCAAATCGATGATTAACTCAAAAAGTATATTTACCTCCTTTCAATGCCATGTAGGGTTGCGGCATAGGAATCTTAGGATCGGGGATTCAATATTGTGGGAGAAGGAGTATATTTAATAAGAACGCACAAAGCAAAGGGCGCGTAGTTGTGGGCCCAGTGTGAGACTCCGTCCGTCGTCACCCAACACAAAAGCAAAATCCCGGCCCCCGTCTTTGTCTCGATTCTTTCCGCCTCTACTACTCTTCCCCATAATAATCTCATTCTTCATTTCTCCTTTTCTTTGCTTTGCTTCGCTTCTCACTTCTCTCTCTCTCCCAGACATCAAACTCTCCGTCCAAATACAAAACAACTAGCCCAAAGGTCAATAACAAATCGTACTTCAATATTTTATTCATAATTATTTATTTCACATATATATGCACTTGTACATACACATGGATATATACATATATATACACACATACACAAGATATAGATTTCGAGACTAGACTAGACACGAATATATGTATTATATATAGCAGAGAGAGAAGAAAGTTCTGATCTTGCTCCCTCTTCTCCGTGACATATCTCTCGATCTTCTCTCTCTCAAGTCTGAACTGCACAGCTTCTTCTTCTTCTTCTTCCACTTTTCTTGCCTCTTTCTTTCTTTCCCTTGGTTTTCATTTGGATTGGTTTTCAGGGTTGGGTGTAGAATGTGAAAGGGCCATTTTGGGGGAATTTATTGGAGTCATTGAATTGTTGGGGATGGGGAATAAATTGGGTAGAAGGAGGCAAGTGGTGGATGACAAGTACACTAGGCCTCAGGGGTTGTACCAACACAAGGATGTCGACCACAAGAAGCTTCGCAAGCTCATACTTGACTCCAAGCTAGCTCCTTGCTATCCTGGGGACGATGACTGTGCCAATACCTCTGATCTTGAGGAGTGCCCCATTTGCTTCTTGGTTTGTTCTCTTCTCAAAACTTTCCCTCTTTAATGCGGATTCCATAAATTGAGGCTTTTGTATGATGAATACTAATTCTGTTATGTTTGAAGTTGACATCTCATTGAATGTATTGTTATCCAATTGTTTTGTGTTGGAATATTTGCTTGTTTTTAGTTTCTGTTGCTCCATCTACAAGAATTGATTGAATAGCATCTTATTAGGAACCAACAGAAATGAAAGTTGGATGGGATAGTTGGGATTCTACCTTCTTGTGGGTATCCAAAGTTACAGATTCAAATTTGGGAAGTTTGGGAAAATTTGTTTTCTTCAACAGTTCAACTGCCAATTTTTATATCCCTGGTGTTGAGATACAAGTACTGGGTCAGAATCTTGCTTAAGATATTGTTAAGAAATAGTTTGGATAATAGAAATGCTATGATCAATAAAGATGAGTCATTTAAGCCAAGAGCAGACTTACAGGAAATAAGGATGGTATCTTTAATTTGGGCATAGCTTTTTGTGTTTGAATCCCATCCTGATGTTGTAATTTGAAATTGCAGGGTTTTTGTTTATACAAGTTTCTCAGATTATAGTTATATAATTGTATGTATCATTCTATGGTTGGAAAAATGTGATATTTCTCCCCTCCCCAATCTTTTACTTGAATGCTCATAAGTTTTGAGTTTTCGGTGAGGGTTGGTGTGGCATAGTGGGTTGAAGAAGTTATAGTTCAAACCTCATCTTTGCAAATCTAATTACTGTTGGCTATTATGCGACTTTAATTCTATCATTTTCCTTGGACTTTTCAGTACTATCCGAGTCTCAACCGTTCAAGATGTTGCCTGAAAGGCATTTGTACAGGTATTATTTGATACAATTGGCTCACCGTGATTCATTCTCTTCACAGATAGCTCTTCGTTATTTTAAAATCTATTTTCTTTCTTTGTTTTATTTCAACAGAGTGCTTTTTGCAGATGAAGACGCCTAATTCAACCCGTCCAACACAGTATCCATGATTTCTTCTGCATCCATTTCTATTTTGGTTTTATATCTGTTTCCAAATGTTTAATTCTTGCTGATCTTTCTTAACCTCCTAAGATGCCCTTTTTGTAAAACTTCGAATTATGCTGTCGAATATCGTGGAGTAAAAACAAAGGAAGAAAAGGGCATTGAGCAAATTGTATGATTCACACGCCATAGTTTGATTGTTGTTACTCATCATTCTGAATTTTGAATCCAAGCCGTGATTTTTTATTTTTTTTTAACCTGTATATTACACTGCTTTAGGAGGAGCAACGAGTTATTGAAGCAAAAATACGGATGAGGCAGCAGGAACTTCAAGATGAAGAGGAGAGGATGCTGAAACGAAGAGAGATGTATTCTTGTAGCAGTAGCAATGGACCGAGTGAGGAGTATTGTTCTACGTCAGGTATTGAATTTTCTCGACTCCACTTCGTATGAATGTTTCTGAAATTCTGATTAATAACGATCGCTTTACTGTATGATGTTGCTTGAAGGGCCGTCATTTGCTACTGCAATTGAAGGTTCAGAAGCTGTTACTTCTCATGAGATTTGTGGCGGCACTCCTGCAATTCTTCCATCTTTACGGCCAAGACAGAACAGGTAATAATCCAAATGCTCGATTTTTAAAATCAATTGCAGGCATTTACTCTATAATCAAATTGGCTTTTCGCTAGCCTTAACTGTTCTTCGATTTTATCTGGGTTGGTATTATTAGTTCATGTATTATGAACTTTGGAGTTTGAGGTATCAATAAGTCCGGGGCATTCGACTTCTGATTTGAGGGACAAATATCTGCCTTTTGAATTAAGTCCTAATGTTTATATCAATCCAGAATATGTTCATACAATGTGTATTAGATGCTAATGTCGGAATGTATTCTGTGGTCTATTCTTATGCCTGAATTTTCAACAGGGAAGATGAATTTGATTTGGACCTTGAGGACCTAATGGTTATGGAAGCTATATGGCTATCTATTCAGGTACTTATCTATTAACAGTCAAAATTCGTCCGCTTTGTTGAGTCCTAGCTTGGTTTCTTGAAATGTTTAACTCCAGTAATTTGCAGTTACTGTCGCATTATGGATATAGTTTTCTATCTTTCACAATCCTTTTCTTGAATTTTTTTGAGTGACGAGAGATACCCGCAGCCACTACCCGAGGGTGTGCATTGTGTAAACTCTGCCTTGTGACCCTAGACGTAAACCAGCCTAGGTTGCCCATAGGTGGCCCGCTCAAACCAATAAGGCCAATAGGCCGCTCCTGAGAGTCGAATTTGAACTTTGTGGTTACCAAGTCAACAGCCTGGCCAACTTGGCTAGGGTTGCCCCTCTTTTCCTATTTCATCTTTGTACGTTTTATGCAATATACAATTTGGACTTTTGGTAACTTGTAAAGTTCTAATGTCATCCACTTATTAAGTGTGCAAACATGATTTTGATAGGAAAATGGGAGAAATCGGAGTCAAGGCTATGCCGATGCAGCTTCAGAACAATACACCACGGAAGATCGGTGTGCAGCCATGACCTCGGCAGGAGGGTCTTCTCCATCCCCTTCTGGAGGTCTTGCTTGTGCAATTGCAGCCCTTGCTGAGCGGCAGCAAATGAGCGGGGAGTCCTCCTCCAATAGTTATGGCGGAGACAAATCTTCGTGCGATGAATATCAGGCGAGTGGCAGATTTCCCAACAGGGTGGTTGATCAAGAACACCAAGATTACCACCCATCTTTGGAGAGGCATACTGGGTTGTCACTGGAATGCCAGATGGCGATAGACAGCTCCGACAGGGAATGGGGTGACCACCACGGGCCAGTGGCGGCAGAAGCGGGAACCAGCTATGAAATGGACGAGGTTGCAAGGCAGCCGCTTTATCCTCCAGAAGGCGAAATCAAGAACAATTTTCAGCACACCTCCTCTGCTCCCATCGTTCCAGAAAGCTTTGAAGAGCAGATGATGCTAGCCATGGCTGTTTCGCTTGCCGAGGCCCGAGCAAGGACCAGCACACCAGGTGTAGCCTGGCAGTAGTGTTGAAGTTGAAGGTAAGGTTACTGAAAGATTGATTCTTTGCAATTGCTTCTTTTGCTGTTATTCCCCTACTTCTCACTTCGTAAACGCAAAATAGAGAAAATTATTGCAGTGAATGAAATTGTCATCTGTTCATCCCCCATTCATTCATTTCATTATAAATTTAACCAAGGCTTCTGTATATTTTGCATTATATGAACACGCAGCTATGGTTAAGGTACTTGTTTTTAGTCTTTGCCTGTTCTGGGCCCTTCATATCTGGGCATCAAATGGGGCAATGGACTCATAATCACTCAAACTGAACTAACCCCTTGTCCTTTACAATGGATTTCTTGTCATGTGAAATTTGGTGATGCCAATTATACAAAAAGCCCAATTTTAGATCAAACTAGTGGGTGTGATAAGATTGCCTTTGATCATCTTGTAGAAAGCATTTTGTTGCTTTTGAGTTTAGATGCATTCTTAGTAGAATCATTTAATTCATGAATATGTTAAACATTTTTTTTTTTAATGTTTGAATATATTAAACATAAAATAACTGTATAACATGTATAGTGGAAGCCAAAGTAGATCAAGTATGCCTCTCATAGTTTTTGAAGGAAAATACCTCTCATAGTTAATTTCTCCATTTGTGAAGAACTACAAGAAATTGTGTCTCACACACTGACCAATATACTTAATTAAAGTTACATCCCATCATGTTGCTATTCAGTTTTCAACCAAATAGAATACTTCAGTTACTTACAGGGTGTTTGGTTGGAAGGAAGGAATTAAGAGGGAAAGGAATTGTAATTCGGTGGAAAAGAATAAAGTGAGAATAAAGTAGGAATTACAATTACATTGTTTGGTAGGGAGGAATAATGAAAATGGGAGAAGTGATATAAAGATTAAAATACCCTTTTGTGTAATAATTTTAATAATAACATTCAAGGACAAATATGTCTTTTCCTCCCATTTCCCTTTGGATGAATTCATTGAATTGCAATTCATAGGGGGGACCTATGAATTGCAATTCAATGAATTGAGGAAATTGCAATTCCATGGAATTGCAATTCCCTCCAACCAAACAATGTAGTTTATCATTTCATTGAATTGCAATTCAATTCCAACACAATTCATGCCAACCAAACACCCCCTTAGGGTCCATTTTATAAACTCGGGAAATGATTTCTGGAAGTCATTTTTTGAATTTTTTTTGTGTTTGGATATTTAAAGAAAATAAAGTTAAAGAAAAATATTCATTTGGTCAATGGAAAAAAGACCAAATTTAACATGTCTTCCTAATTTTCTTTTTGTCTGAAGACATTTGTCGGACTCTTTATTTTCCTATATCTCTTCATTCTGTACTTTTTTCTAGTTACTTTCCAAATTGTTGTTACCACCACCACCACCGCCACCAACAGTAATACCACCACCACCACCTAGGGATGACCATGGTTCAGTAGGTTTGAACCGAACTATCTACTGTTGGAACCAAAAGGTTAACTGGACAATTCTGATTCCATAACTAAAAAAAAAAAAATATTATAGTTTTTTTTTTTTAGTTTAACATTAAAGTTTAAATAATTGATATAACAATTTAAAAAAAAAAAATTATAGATGAAAAAATTAATTGTTGAATTTGGACCATTTTAAAAATAAAACATAAAATTTTAAAAAAGAAAAAAATATATATATGGTTAGAACCGACGGTTTAAATCAAAACTGTCAGTTCAGAACTGTAATCGAAACCTTTATATAAGGTTCCGGTTTCGGTACAACCATTTTCTTACTATTATTATTATTATTATTATTATTATTATTATTATTATTATTATTATTATTATTATTATTATTATTATTATTATTATTATATAACAAGTAATATGTTCATTTTCAAAAAAAAAAAAATAAACCAAACAAAAAAAAATTGTAATTTCTTAACTTTAAGCCATATAGAAAAAAAGATAATTTTCTTACCTTCAATCAAACACCAGTAAATTATAATATCTTTTTAAAAAATGAGTCATTTTTTTAAAAATATTTTTCAGAAACTATTTACAGGTTTCCAAACGGACCTTAAAAAAGACAATTTTAAGTTTGATTAGATTACTAGTCAAATTTGTACACACACACAAAAAGAAGACAATAATTATATAAAATATATTGGAAGAAAAATTATATAAAATATAGGAACATTTTAAGGTGTCAATGGGCACCCATGACTCATACCCGGTACTGCCCCAAAATGAATATTGAATACTTTTAAGTTTGCACTAGATGCAAAATCAATATTATTTCTACATTTTTTTTTGAGTTTATACAAGAGGTATAGTGTCGTCAATCGTCATCCTAACCTTTCCCATAAAATATTATATGAGAAAATATTACAGAATAATCAATAAACATAAAAAGTTGCTCTAAATTTAGTCGTGTCATATATATTGTTCAAAATATCATAGAAATATATAATAAGTTTCATGACCTCAACTAAAATCTATATAAATATCAACTCCAAATCCACAACTCCACAGCTAGAGTGAAGACATGGAAATATTAATAAAATTAGAGTAGATGCAATATTGTCACGTTATCTTCCCACATTCACATGTAGAACGTATGAAAATTTATTCTCAAAATATTGCATGCTAAAGAAAATGAATAGGTTGGTACAATAGAGAGTGACAAAGTAGGAAAGCATTAAAGGGGCTAATAAGCAAAGTTTGATGTAGTAGTTGAGCTTACATTTAAAAGTTTCACATGCATTGCTTATCATAATATTCAAGTTGGAAAGAGTAGCTACTTTTCACATGTTTTGTCATGGCCCAACCTTTGATCATACCATGTCCATTCAATCATTATTACCTAAGGTCCACTTGCTCAATTACTTTATACTAATTGGAATCACCTTGAAATGTGTCATGGCCCACTTTTTCAATTTTTTTTTTGGAATAAGGGTCAAATAGGCCATCGAACTGCACATGATAAAACAATTAGGCCACTGAACCAAAAAAACCAACAATTAGGTCCCTAAACTAATCAATTTCAAACAATTATTCCAATTTGAAGGTTTCCAACAGCTTAACAGGTCATCTCCCAAATTAATTATTCTTTAAAAAAATAAATATTAAAAATTAATTAGTTTTAAATTTAAAAAAAAAAAAAAAAAAAAAAAAAAAAAAAAAAAAACTGGAATCCAGCCGAAGACTACCGCCTCCGGCCGGAACCAGTTTTTTTTTTTTTTTTTTTTTTTTTTTAGTTTAATTTAAAACTAATTAATATTTAAAATTTAAATTTTAAAAAATAATTAATTTGGAAGGATGGCTTGTTGGAAACCTTCAAATTGAAAAAATTGTTTGAAATTGATTAGTTTAGGGACCTAATTGTTGATTTTTTAAGTTTAGTGGCCTAATTGTTTTATCGGGTGCAGTTCGATGGCTTATTTGACCCTTATTCCTTTTTTTTTTTAACAATGCTACAAATCTTCCTGTATTTTTCTTAAAAACTTACCCTACTGAGATGACACCATCTGATTAGTAGTTACATTTACTTTTTATAATTAACGGTGGAATCAGTCAATTTATTGACACTCAATAAATAAAAGTTACCTCATGAGGGAAAGTTTGGAGGGGAAAATAACATTTTTTTTTTTTTTTTGGGTTTAGAGAAACCCGTACTATTTGACAGTGTGTATTGAGTAAATTTTGTTCCCATGTAATAGGGGTAGCCCACAAATTACACTAGAAAGATCTTAGATGACAAGCTAAATCGAGGAAGTATCTTTAATGAGTATAATTTTCGTTACATTTTTAAATTTTATTAGATAAAAAAATAAAAAATGAGTTTTTTTTTTTTCACTTTTGATCCTTCGGCTATTGTATGTCTTCCAAATCTAATCCTAACTATCATTTTTTCTACATCAGTGCATGATTATCAAATTCTTGTCATATGATTATTCTAATCAAATTTTTTGGCCAATCTTGTTTGATTTTTATCAACACTAGCACAATATCACTATATTCAACTATGTTTCTACATACTTCTCAAATTTACATAATAGAAATACTCTTTCAAATAACTAACATAATTATTATATGGGAGGTTTCAGTTAAAATTGATCGAAATAATTAAATTTGATAAAAATTTAATAGTCAATGACTAAATGTGAGAGAAATACAATAAATTGACAGCTAAAAGTGAAAATAAGTTAATGAAAAATTATAACCGACTTTTTTTCCCCCTAAATCGATAAAATATACCAAGTACACTAGTCTGTTTGTAATTAGCTACCATTTAATTATGTTGCTTTGTGGGTCCAAAATAAAAATCTTGGTCAATTGTAATGGAAAAGAATAATTATAATCTACTTCGTTTAAATTTCAAACTTTAGACACAAAATTAATTGAATAATATATAGTTTTAGACAATAATGGTTCCCCGATATGATGCGACTACTTCACTTAGATGCAGATTATTTTCTCAATGCCCAAGGTGGGAATACCATATTTTTATAAATAAAAAAAAATAAAAAAGGTATATTTTTAATTTTTAAATAAATTGTATATATATAAAAGTAATTAAATATGTATCACTTTGGGGGTGTTTGATAAATACATGTTAGCTGATTACATGCAAAATGACTTTTTTCAGAAAACTAATTGAAAAAACTACTTTTAAGTAGTTTTTTAAATTTTAGCGTTTTAGAACAATAAGCTATTACAAAACGTTAATTAATCAAACACTTATATTCGTTTTTTAACCAAATCAAACAGCTAATATTGATCAAGTAAATTAAAATTGACTGATAACTAACTATTTTACCAACCAAAGGTATTTATATATTTGTAAAATGACATTTTTCGTACTTATCCATCGAGCTTCATGTGTTTGAAACCCACCTAATGGACTAAGCTTGTTGGTTTTGACAAACACAGTTGAAGTTCATCTATATTCATGTGACTTTTTTTTTTTTTTTGTTGATTTTTCTTTCCACTATATAAATAAATTGTAGTACAGTGACAGGAGATTCTTGCACTTTCCAACTATATTCGGGGCATCGATTTTTATTTATATATTTATTTTTTAAAAAAGAATTTCTTAGTTAAAAAAGAAATTCAGAAATATAAGATATTTTAACGGTGTAAAAATACAAAAATAAGAGGGGTGTTTGTTTGACATGAATTATAATTCCAAGTATAACTTAATTCAACAGAGCTAGAAACTATACTATTTGGTTGGAGGGAGTTGTATTTATAGAATTGTAATTCATGTATTCTTTAGGTATTGGAATTCAATACATCTTGAAAATGAAAAAAACAATAAAAATGATTAATTTGTCCTTGATTATTATTATTATTACAGAATGACATTTTAGTCTTTATATCATTTATTCTTTTTTTTTTTTTTAATCTCAATAATTCTACTTTATTTTCATACTTTATTCTTTTTCCACCAAATTACAATTCATTTCCACCAAAATTCATTCATTCCAACCAAACGTGGTATAAGGCATTGGAATTGGGAAATGCAGCAGAAGTGGTGGACCTGAAACAAGTTCCTTCCACGTATAAGAGACATTTTATTGCTTTATTTGATGAAGCATGGTCCCAGGCCACGTCCTAAAAGAATTAATATTCAAAGCTGCAATGGAGATGAAACTTGAAAGGTTAAAAAAATGGAGAGGCAATGCTATCCAAAAGCAGCTAAAAAAAGAGGGTTTCAAAACTTCACAGTTCCTACTACTGTACTATCTACTTTTGTAGTTTTCTGTTGACATGCCCACCTACAAAAAAAAAAAAAAAAAAGTTACTCCACATATTATTTATCTCAATATTTTACTTCTTAGTCTTTGATATAGTTGATTGAACATTGATACTTTTCTTCTGTTTTATGAAATGATTGAATGATGCATAACCAGAGAATTACTACTCACTTTATAGATCGTTATCACTTTTATGAGATATAATCTGTCCTAATTCGACTAGTTAATTATTAAAAAAAAATCAATATAATAATTTGGAGTAGTTTGTAAGCAATGTTGGGTCCGAGCGTGTGCGCTCAGAGCTACAACACAAGGCCTCCAAATATTGGGGGCCGAGTTCTTTAAAAAAATTAAATTAAAGTATTATATATAAGTGTTTAACCTTTTTTAGGAACAACATTGCTGATATGTGAAGATTAATGCAATTGTGATATCTTTAAAAAATTACAGTATTATATATAAGAGTTTAATATTTTTTAGGAACAACATTGCTGATATGTGAAGGTTAATGCAACTGTGACATCGAAAGTTCCTAATTAAGAGTTGAACTATATTGTATGACTCAGATCGAAACTAGATCAGTCTCATAGTGGTGAGATATTAGATGCCATATTCAAAAGAAAAAATTATTTTTTTAAAACTTTTAAATCAATATCCTTTTTATAACAACTATGTTGATGTGATATTGTCACACCATCTATTTAATATTTTAAAAATTGGACAAATTTAAAGGTTATATTTTTAAAATTTTCATTAATTTGGTCATGGTTTTTCCAATCAAAAACTATAGTCGAATTTTTTTTTTTTTTGAGGTAAAAAAAAAAACAGTCAAAATTTTATTTTATTCTATTTTATTTTGTAAAAAAAGTTGTCAATTTTTATTTTTATCTTTAATTATACAAATTTTTAGAATGCATGAAGTTTAAAATTTAAATAATACTCCGTAAGAAAAAATGAATTAAATAAAGTAAAATGGTACAAGAATCTGGTGGGTATTTTGACTTCTTGTATTGGACAACAATAAAAGTTATTTTATTAGTTTTGGGAGTAAACAAATAAATTATAATAAATCAGATGAAAACAAATATTGAAATATTGTATTTATGTGTCAGCCTTCCCCATTCGTCTCAACGTTCAAATTTACTCTCTTGTCCTCTTCCAATCGCCTTTTCACTTTTCACTCCACTCCACTCAATTTCAAACTTTAACCTAACGTTCAAAGTTCAAATCTTTAAAAATCACTGTCCCCCCCTCCCCTCGCTCTCCTCATTTCTTGATTTAAACTCGCAAGACCCAGTTTTTTTCCATGTGAGTATTTCTTCTTCTTAGCTAAAAATTTGAGAGAGAGCCTGGGTGGAAACATTCTTGCTGAACAGCTGCATCAAGAGAGAAAAACATTGAGGTCAGACTTTAAGGATTTGATTAATTTGGTTTGTTTCTGTCCATGTTTATGTCTGCAAGACTGTTTTCATATGTTTTTATTTTTGTTGCTCCCTTGGTTATAAGTAGAAAGAATAATAATTGTCAGATTTTTAAATGAATTTTAATGTCTGTCGTGTTCTAATCTTAGATGGTGAAAGATCTGAATAGTGAAGTAGAAAGTGCAGTGTGCTGAAGCTTTTTGGTGTCATTTCAGTTCTTGTTTATTCAACTTAATTGGAGTGTTGTGTAGAAATGTGGATGGTCTTCTTGGAAGAAGATAAAGGTTGAGTTAACTGGAATTTTACCCTTAGTTTTTTTTTTTTTTGTTTGAAAGACCCTTAGCTAGATTCAAAAGTCTTTTCAAGAAACCAAAAAAAAAAGACTTTTTTTGGGGGTTTCTTTTTCCAGACTTTTTTTTTTTATCTATTAGTTTTTCTTTAGTTTTATAATGGTATGACTACCTTTTGATAATGATTGTGCAACCCTTTTGTGTTGATGATGGAATATGTTAATTGGTGCTTAGTGTTCCTTAAACTAGCAAAAAAAAAAAAAAAGATCTTTGTGGATTGTGGGTGAAAAAGTTGAAATCTTTAATGCAAAGCTCTCAATGGGATTTGCATAGTATGTTTGTTGTTAAAGCCTCTAATCATTCATCTTTGAGATCATGGCAATTGGCAAATTCTCATATTGGGACAGATTAGTTGAATATTCTGTAAGATTTGATATTTGTTGAGCAGGGAATCAGAAATGCCTCTAAGGCAACCTCTTAGGAGCTCTTCTCAGCTTAGAGCTTCGAGTTCTGATTCTGAGCCTTTGCGTAGTCGGCCCTTGAAAGATAGGAGCCCCAAATTGGTTGGTGATCGTCGATCCCCGAGGGGAGCTCAGTCTGATCCAATAACTCAGAAGAAAAAACTCGGATCGCGCATTGCAGACTTAGAAAACCAACTCGGGCATGCTCAGGAGGAACTCAAGTGTCTAAAGCATCAGTTAGCCTCGAACGAGTCTGCAAAGAGAATTGCTCAGGAGAAACCCGAGAAGAAAACGAGGAAACCAACTGCTCCCAAGCCAGAGGAAATTCTTCCCGGTGATAATCATGAATCCAATGAAAAAGAAAACCAGCCTGGAAGTGAGGGTTTGGATGATAGCCAGCAAGAAACCGATGTTTTTGAGGTTCCAGTGGAGAAAGTTGCTGTGGAGCCAAACGGGGTTGAAGATATTGATGAAGATGAAGTGAAAAGCCGAGTCTTGAATCCCTCAGTTGAATCGCCAGTAACCCCTGAACCATCGTTTGAGGAGGAGCTGGCATTGAAGAACGACGAGATAAGCTCATTAAAGGCCAAATTGGAAGAGAAGGAAAAAGAGCTCGTCAACTTTGGCCAAGAAAACGAGAGCCTCAAACAACAACTAAACGAAAAGGCTATCGAGGCATCATCAGCAAAGGCGAAGGGAGAAGAGGCAGCTCTCGAGTTGAACCAGGTTAGAGAAGAGCTGGAAACCACTAGAGACAATTTAACCAGGTTCAATGAACAGCTAGAAGCCAGCGAAAAGGCAAAGGAGGCTTTAGAAACCGAGATGAAAAAACTGCGCATTCAAACCGAGCAATGGAGGAAAGCAGCAGATGCAGCAGCTACAGTTCTTTCCGGGGGCATGGAGATGAACGGCAGAAGGATGTCCGAGAGGTGTGGATCAATGGAAAAATACAGCAGCAGTGTATTTGAACCAGGAGTCGGGGGATATGGCAGTTACATGGGATATCCAGGGTTTCTCGATGACTCTGAGGATGTTTCAGACAGTGGAAAGAAGAAAGGTTCTGGCATAAAAATGTTGGGTGATCTCTGGAAAAAGAAGAACCAGAAATGAACCATTTTTAGCATTAAGGAAGTTGAAGAGAACTAGTTTTTTCTAGTTCTTGTTTTTCTGGCTACGAAAATGGTAGTAACATCATGTGTTTCAATCTCTGGCATCTTGGTTATTTATGGATTCTATGTTTAGGATTTGGGTGTTTTTAGTTAGTTAAGCACGGCATCAATTCGATGTAGCAACAACTTGAACTATGAAATTCTTGCCATTTTCAGAACTTGTTGCAGAAATGAGGCTACCCAACACTTTATTATTATCATAAATGTGGTCAAATCTAATTGCAGAAAAAACTGGAAATCATGAAATTGATTGTTTGCAAGAAGCTGAAGAACAATGCTTAACAACTAAACCCAGAAAAGAACTGAACGGGAGGTGTCTGTAGGAGATTGGCACAAATCGACAGGTCATTCTAAAAATTGCATCCAATTATGGAGGAGATAAATCGCGAAAATTTTTTCAATAGCTTACAGTTCCTCAAATGCCTGGACACTAACTAGCACACACAACATAAGGAATATAACCTATTTCTTGGGGCTCTGTCAGCGAAGCAAAGTTATTAACTTTGAACATTGATGTGGTAGGTTAACATACTACCTGAAAAGGCTATAGTAGTCGGCGGAGGGTTATTAATCATTTTAGAGCTCAAATCCTTAAGGCAAAGGATCAATGAAAAGGGAACCTATATTTTGTGACTGCCAGCGAAACAAAGCTATTAACTCTCAACATGGTAGGTTAACATACTACCTACAAATGGCTAGAGAGGAGGATTAGTAATCATTTTAGAGCTCGATTTCTTGCTTTTGATCCTTAAGGCAAAGGATCAATGAAAAGAGAACCTATATTTTGTGACTGCCAGCGAAACAAAGCTATTAACTCCTAACACTCGTGGTAGGTTAACATACTACCTGCAAATGGCTAGAGAAGAGGATTATTAATCATTTTAGAGCTCAATTTATTGCTTTTGATCCTTGAGGAAAAGGATCAATGAAGGGGAAAACCTATATTTTGTGATTGCCAGCGAAGCAAAGCTATTAACTCTCAACACTAGTGGTAGGTTAACATACTACCTGCAAAAGGCTAGAAGGGAAGATTGTTGACCATTTTAGAGCTCAATTTCTTGCTTTTGATCCTTGAGGAAAAGGATCAATGAAAGGGGGAACTTATATTTTGTGGCTGCCAGCGAAGCAAAGCTATTAACTCTCAACATTCATGGTAGGTTAACATACTATATGTAAAGGGCTAGAGGGGAGGATTATTAACCATTTTAGAGCTCAATTTCTTGCTTTTGATCCTTGAGAAAACGGACTAATGAAATGGAGAACTTATATTTTATGGTTGCTAGCGAAGCAAAGCTATTAACTCTCAACACTCGTGGTAGGTTAACATATTACGTGCAAAAGGCTAGATGGGAGGATTATTAACCATTTTAGAGCTCAATTTCTTGCTTTAATTTTTTTTTTTTAAACAATTTCTTGCTTTTAATACTTGAGGAAAATGATCAATGAAAGGGAGATGGAATGTTATGATAAGACTGGTTTAGAAAAGTGTACCTTGACCAATTGAGTGCTGCTGTGGTGTGTGTTTTTCACATAATATTGGTTGGGCTTTCTTCTGCATAGTGGGCCTAGTTCGGTCTATCGCAGCCCACTCTTAATAACATTTTTTTTCTCTCTTCAATTTTCAAATTTAAATGGTTGATATATATTAATATACTACAACATGTTTGGTTCAAGTTATGCATCATATTCTTAATTTGATCGATTTTTGAAACCTCGTGTTACCAAACGATTGGAAGGAATGACATTTCTTAAAATGTGACAAAACTAAATTACAGAATTAGTTTTAAACGTCTCATTACCTTTAGTACTTAGGACATTCACAACAATAGATTTTAAGTGATTTTTCAATGCCTAAAATTTTGAAATTGGTTTTTCAACAAATGAGGGAGTGATTTTTGCATGATTTTTCATAATATAAAGAGCTGATTTTTGTATCTATATTCGGACCCACCAAGAAAGAAAAAAAAAATAACAAAGTTGCCACGCGTGAGGTGAAAATCTCGCGCCCAGCAATCTTTTCTTTATCTTTCTTTCTTTTTTTTTTTTTATTCAGATTTTTTTCCTTTTTCCCTTTCTTTTTCCTTCAATTTTCTCTTTTCTAGTCACACTTGTAAAAACTCATCAATATCTACAACTATTGGAGATGAACAACTCATGTCACTATTAAAAAGAAAAAGAATTTTTTTTTTCTTTACACATTAGCTTGCAAATGTCCCTCTTTCAAGGATAAATTCAGCTTAATATGTGGGCGGGGTCAAAAGTGTGTGGTTGTTGAATTAATACGAGCCATTTGATAGTCTAAAATTAAATAAAAATATATATTATTATAATTGAGTCCGAAAAGTGAATTTGGGGAGGCAATAAAGTAATGGTTTCCCTGAAAGGTTGTGGCGTGTTTGGACTTAGGACGTGGGTTTGGGGTGTAAGGAAATGGAAGGACCACAAATGTCGAAACAATGGAAGCTAATATGACAACCCCAAACAACTCCCTGCCTATGTTATTGACACGCAACTGCTCAGCCTGCCAGATTTTCCACAACAGACCTCTTCTCTTCTCTTTTCTTCTCTGCACAAAAGTAAGCTTATCTTATACGGAATTAGACTTTATACTAATATATATAAACGCTAATATATATGGTTTCAGTTTATCACAAATGTACTTTGAGATAATCTTAATCAAATTAGTTAAAATATTGAGTTGATAACTACAAGTTCTAAGTTAGAATTCAAGTGCGAATCTATTTATTGATTTTTTTTGTTTTTTGTTTGTTTTGAACTAATCAGCTATGAATATTGGACATTTAGAAATATAATATACTCTCTGTCGCATTTTATCTGTCCTACTTACTATTCCTTGAGTCAAACTAACTCTTTCTTCTTTGTTTATTTTCTTTAGTATTTTTTACTTATTTTTAAATTTAATTTTTTGTGTTTAATAGTACTTTTAGTGTAATTTTTAAATATATACATTTTGTATACTAATACTAAATTTAATATTATGAAAAATTAGATTAAAAATAACTTCAGTCAAACCTCGTTAACCGAACCAAGACACATAAAATGGGACGGACGTAGTAGAAATATAAATGTGCAATTTAATTATTAGTTTAGGTTTTAATTGAGATGGAACACAATTTTAATTATAAGCAACCTAAGTTAATTTATCTCATTTTGATCCTTTGTTCTAAGACAAAATTAGCAAATAGAGACAGCAAAAGCATTCAATGCAATCAGTTAGCAAGTAATCATCAAGCACACAATCCATCTTTCAACCTTATACCAAGTTCTAATCTTGTAGCTCCCCTCCGTCCTTATATCAGTTTCAACTTATACCTCCAGGCCACCCTTATATTGCCTCCCTTATTCCTCCAGGCAACTACATACCTCCACCGGCAAACCATCTTTCAACCACCAACATATCAAGATGGGGCAAGGTGGAACTTTTAGTAAGTTTTTGGTAAAGTAAATGGATCAATAAGAATATGCTACGGATTTAATGAAATTAATAGAGTTTTGTTTTGTTGACAACTATAGGTGAACAGTTGTGTTGAATTCATACATGTTGTGGCTACAAATAAGCACTTTGGAAATATGTAACTAACCAGATACCTCGGAGGTATTTGGTAAATAGTTATTACTTGTTTGGTTAATGGGTTTAATTAGTTAATAGCATTAGTTGATTCTAGAAAGATACTTGGTAAATTAAATGTTAGCTGATAGTTGATTATATGTAAAATGACTTTCTCAAAAAAATTATTAAAAAAATTTTAAATTTTAATATTTTGAAACAATAAATTGTTACCAAAAATTAATTAATTAAATATTTATATTAATTATTTAATTAAATTAAATAATTATTAATAATTAAATAAATTAAAATTCACTGATAAGTTAATTAGGTTATAAATAGGCCATCACGTGATTTACTTTGGTCTGGTGGAGTTCATCCGAAGGCACTAGCCCCTATGGTCCAACAGCTGTGAAGCTGTGACTCAGGCCTATACATATAGGTAGGCAGGAGGGTGCAGTTTTCCTTGAAGAGGGGTGGGGGGGGGGCCAATCTCTACAACTCTCACGTGATCTTTTTTTCATGCTAAACAATGCATTGCATCGGGTTTCGTTAGCTCTGGGCGTCAGTAGCTGATTTTTTGCTGCTTTTCTGCCCAAATCTAACCCATCCAGCACATTGTATGGTCCGTCTGGGATTAATTCCAAACCGGAAAACCACAACAAACATTAAAAAAAAAAAAAAAAAAATCTAATTTCCCGAGTAAAGTTTTAATTTAAAAAATTAATTAATATGAAACGTGGAGTATTTGAACTTCATATATTCATTCAGGTTCAGCCTGGGGACAAAGTAATATCCTTAATTGTATTCCTTTTTTAAGTTTTGAAAAGTTTAAGGTTGGTTGAAACCATGTGCTACACTTGACTCCTGCCGGCTGCCATCCATCCAGCAACGTAACCAATAAAACCACTTTTAATATTGGACCCAGGTAATGTTGTATCCTGCCTCGACATACTATCTTGGTTACCACAATTCTTGATAGACTCACATGTATATGTATATATAGTAGCTGACTAGATGGATAATAATGTCGACGATCAAACTTTGAAGGTTACGTTTGTACCATTAACCATTCAAGTACTTACAAAAGTATCCCAGAAAAAAAAAAAAAAATACACATTTTGGCCTGCCTAGCCTGCTGCATGGAAATAAAATCAACTAATAATCCTTTTAATTTGCCATGTTTTTGGTAATAACAAGGTAAGGTGGGACTTGGGAGTTGATTATGAGGCTGTAATATTCTGGAATCGGACCAACCTATTATCAGCCAGCCTAGACTTATAGACAGATTTTTTGTACTCGAACCATGTAAACTCCTTGTACAAGCTGTCCTCCCCTCCTTGTATGAGTGATGGCAATGGAGCTATCTTTTCACTCAGCGGTGGTCCTCCGAAATAAATCATTGATAGCCTTGATTTTCTACTGTTCGTCAAAACCCTGTGCCGGACACTCTTAAACCTCCCGTTCGTCATCACCTGTAAAGCAACCCAGCCAAGTTAGTCAAATTGAGCCAATCAATTAACAATAACAACTTATTAACTTTCTTAATTTGAACCAGTTAATTATGAGTTATATATTTTTATGGTCATTTGCTGGCTAGTATTGAATAGTTATAAATTGAAGAAAAGAATGAAAATGGAAAGCGCGTTGACCTGAAGAGAGTCGCCGACGTTGATAAAGAAGGAGGATTGATCAGCGGGCACGGAAATCCAGCAGCCATCTTTGAGTGAGATTTGAAGGCCCGAGGTGTTGTTGGATCTCAGAACAGATATGATTTGTGGGTCTGTGTGTTCGCCGAACCCAATCAAATTCCGGCCGTTGATTTCTTGGAGCTCCGGGCATGGAGGGTAGTGATTCAGCCTCAACACCGAGTCGCTCTCTTCATCCATCACCAGCCTACTCAACGCATTCTTCGGCTGAATCTTCAGCCCCTCCGCCATTAATTCAAGAATCTCACACGCCATTCTCTTCACAGCTGTCACATAGTCACTCACCGCCGCCCTGCATGTATTATATTTCCAACCAATTAATTTCCGACCAAAAAAAAAATTAAGAAGTTGGCCGGACGGAATAACTCACCGGAACATTTCAGGGGATAAACCCACGACCGACGAGAACCTGTCGTAATCGAATTCCACGTCGTTGGGGGATAACAGAATGTATTCAACCCAGCCGATATCGCCATTGGGGCCGATCGTTTTATTCCCATAGCCGGACGGGTCAGGCGGCCCTGCGTTCTCCTTGTCGGACAGGGGAGAGGAGAAGAATTTCACGGCTTCAGATTCCAGCCGGGTTATGAATTCAGTGGGAACGCCATGGTTCACCACCTTAAAGAATCCGAATTCCTCGCAGGCTTTGACGAGGTGGTGTTTGCAGTCGGGGTGGGACAGGTCTATCAATGGGATGCCCGGGGGAAATGCGCCGCCTTTGCACGGCTTCACGATGGAGAACTGTTCAATTGCCGGCTTCGACAGGACCACCATGGTTAGTTGCTCAGGATTTCAAAGAAATAAAGACTGGATTTCTTAAGCGATCAATGGCAGCGTTTAACGTTGGGAATACGAGGAGGAGGAGGAAGAGGCAGAGTGGTTTTAGACTTGCTTGTTTTGTTTTGAACACTTGCTCTTCTACTACTACCTTGCTATATATAGGCAATTTAGTGACCCAATTTTTTTCGGATTTATCCTTTTTCTTTACTCGGTGCTATAATTATAATAATGACGTGTATGAGTGTATCACCTACAATATACATTTAAAACAAAATATTCCGACTTAGTAATTTAGGACAATTGGTAACAAATTATTAATGTATTTGAAATTTCTAAAGTTTGGTAAAGGACTAAATGGTGCATTGACAGTTTGACACAGTTTTACATTAGACTTCTCATTGAGTAAAGAGTGTTTGATCGAAACTGAATCTGAATTTTTTGTGGTAAGGATATCGAATATTAAATGCCAACATTTGTTTAATAACAAAACAAAACAAAATAAAAAATCTTTGAAATTAATCTTATACAATCAACATATGAATTGTACCACACGCACTCGTATTTAATTAAATACAACACTTTTTTTTTTTTTTTTGAGAACTTTTCGTTTCTATGCATAAGTGGTTCTAAGGTAGTATAAGTCTAAAAAACATATGAACTTTGTTTCTCAAATAAAGTTAGTGTTTACTAATCAACTTTATAAGCAACTCCAACCGTTGAGAAGTTGCTAGAGTTTTTTATCAGAAAAATAAAAAGTAAAATGAGGGCAACCGTTCCCAATGTGCCTAACTGACGCACGCGGGGTGTTGTTGGTGAGTGAAATGCACACCAACTATGCTTTTTTCTTTTTTCTTCATATATAGCATGATAGCAAAAATTAATGGTGGATTCCTCTTAAGATTTTTATTTATTCATTTAATTTTTTTTTTAATGATAGAAGAGGCATAGTGGTTTGAGTATTCCTTGTTTCGAACACTTGCTCTTCTAGACTTCTAGTACAACCTTGCTATATATAAGAATTTTAATGACCAAATTTTCTTAGGATTTCTCATTTTTATTTACTTGGTGCAACAACAGCATAACAACAATGCAATAACAACAACAATATAATAATGACGATTTGACGATGACGATGACAACCTGTATCACATACAATACACTAGCATTAAAAAAAAACAAAAACAAAATAAAAAAAAAATCATCGAATGAACCTTATATAGTCAACATATGACTTATTCCACACGTATTTGTATTTAATTAAAGACTAACTCTTTTTTTTCTTCTTTCATCTGTCTAATCAAAGACAAAGTATATACTTGCTTTGCTACACAAATAAAGTTAGTATTTACTAATCAAGTTTAAAACAACCCCAATAGTTGAGAAGTTGTTGGGGTTCTTATTTTTTATATTAAAAAAAAAAAAAACCATCAAAATGAGAGTGGTCACCCGTTAGCGACTATCTTTAATGAACTCAGTTGTTGCGTGTTGAATGCTATTGGTGTACGAAATGTGCACCAAATGTGCTCTTTTAAATTATTGTTTTCTCTCTTCGTTTCTACTTCTATCAAATTAAAAAGTCAGAAAATATCACAACAAAAACTACTGCTGGGTTTCTCTTTGTGAAAAAAGAAAAAGAAAAAGAAAAAGAAAGTAAAAACAGGATGCTTCCTACCTATTCACTGGAGATGTCATTTTTAATTTAGACGTTGAATGGGTCATCTTCCAAGATTCTATTATATATACCTGTCCGAAATGGGAACCTATCATCATGGTCAAGATCAAAACATCATTCTAACATCAAATATGTAGAAAATAATCCTTAGCCAGCCCCCACACAATACATTATTAATATGAGAAAATTTCAATTTTGGTCATATGACTATAGGGGCTTTGTTAATTTCAGCATCTGACTTTTAAAAGTGTCAATTTAGTACCTTGACTATGCAATTTTTATCAATTTTGGTCACTCCGGTCAAATTGCCGGCCAAATTTCGCCGAAAAGTTTTAATAGTTAAAGTAATAGGGATATTTTAGTCTTTTACATCTCTTTTCTTTTTCCCCTGCAAATCCGCCGGAGAAGGTCGCCGGTTGTGGAATTCAACAGAAAATTGATTCAACAAAATCAAACCCTCCCCTACCGCTGTGAGTTGATTTAACAAAAGTCCTTAAGCTTTCAATGGAGAAAGATGGTTCTTTCTGGGCATGAAAGCTTTACCCTAATACAATTTGAATTTGTATTTTCAGATTCTATGCAACGGAGTTAATACTGACATTGGAGTATCTTCACGGATTAGGAATTGTGTACAGAGATTTGAAACCAGAAAATGTGATGATTCAGGAGAATGGTCATTTAATGCTAATCGATTTCGATCTCTCCACAAAACTATCTCCCAAATCTTCTGAAACTCCTCTAATTATTGTTGTTAAGTCACTTCCGAAATCTGATCTGAGCCGCCACGGGCGGAGAAGACACGGAAGAAGCTTCCTTCCTGGTACATGCTATGCAGGTCAGGAATCACGCCGGAGGAGCACTCAGTACATCCGTATGAACTTGGCTTAAGCTCAGCGACTTCCTCGTCAAGATCCGACTCCGTCGAGCCGAATTCTTTCGTCGGGACCGAAGAGTACGTGGCGCCGGAGGTCATACTAGGGAACGGCCACGTCGCCGGAAAGAAGGGGAAGAAGGAAGATATGTGAAAGGACTAAAATACCCTTATTATTTTAACTGTTAAAATTTTCCGGCGAAATTTGGCCGGCAATTTGACCGGAGTGATCAAAATTGATAAAAATTTCATAGTCAAGGTACTAAATTGACACTTTTAAAAGTCAGATGCTGAAATTAACAAAGCCCCTATAGTCATATGACCAAAATTGAAATTTTCTCTTATTAATATTCATTCCTATACTTTTGACTTCCGGCCTTCATTAGAATAGTAAGCACTAAGCAGCGGAGTGCACATTCTAAAAGACTTAACAGTCAACAATGTTGTCATTTTTGTATAATACGGAGTAATATACTAACTTTATTATCAATTTAGTAATTTTATACTAAGTTTTGATTTTTTGTGTGATATTGTTTATTACTACTTGATTCAAAAGTATCAAACATATCTGTCATACTAATTGATTTATTACTTGACAACTACTAATAAGATCCCGTTGTTTGTATGGACAACTCAATTGATTATAGAGGTGAAAGTTGAAAAGAATAACCAGGAATCGAGTCCCACCTGCGACAGTGTGGGAACAACCTCTCAAAGTGAGGGGACCCCTTTAAGCAAAGGTCTAACCTCTATAGTTCATGTTCAGTTGAATTACCATGATTTACATCTTCACAGATGTTCTGTCGACTGGTGGTGTGGGGCAACCTTTTGGAACGAATGAATAGAGTTTAACCTTTTGGAACGAATGAATAAGATCCTGTTTTTGTGAACGGCTAAGATCGCGGCGTCGGCATGACGTATAATATAAATGTACACTCTCCGAATTAATGCCTCCCCCGTAAAGCATTTACTATAGGAAAGGTCTGGACACTGTGCGTTGCTGTCATGCTCTTCTGGAATTTATTCCTCTTACAATCTCTGAAAATTACTTCCCCATTATTTATTTATTTTTTTTGGAATTTTTTTTGAAAAGAAATTTTCATTTTCATCATATGAAAATCAATAACACCTCATGTACATGTGTCGTGCGTGTACTCTTTACTTCACGTGACAATAACGTGATACGATATCGTTACATATGACACTGTAAAATTTAAGACCGTAAGGACGATGTGGGTGGGGGGGTGGGGTTGTCAAAGTCAGTGTGGCTGACTAATGAGGCAGGGAGTGAGTCAGTGCAGTATAGTCAGCTGCCAACTAACCTTTTTGAGCGCAGGCGATGTCGTGGGCCCCTGTCTACTGCTCCCCCATGCGGACGATTCCATTTTATTATTTCTTTAATCTTTTTTTAGTTTCTATATTTTATATTATATTATATTATTACTTACCAACTAACCTTGCATTGTTGCATTCATTTTCATGCACCATCTGCATGCATCCGCCGCTGATAAACCAACCCACTCTTTATCCTTATCACAATTCCACCTTTTCAATTCTTATTTTATTTCCAAATATAATATCCTAATGTGATGAGTTATAATAATGTTTATTTTACAAAATTGTACATTGTATTCTTTGAAAATTTAGTTCAAATTGACATTGAAGTGGTCATTTTAAAGAAATATTTTGAGGGAGGTTCTTGTATTTAATTGATATATCATACATGCAAGACAAATAAAAAGAGAATAGATACAATCTCAATCAAATTGGTTTAAACTGTTGACTTGATAATCATAAAATTATACTTTTAGAGTATAAATATTTAAATATAATTTTACAAAGTACATAAAACTGTAAAATTTGTATAAATCGACATGCCCAAAAAAAAAAAGTATAATGAAAGTAGATATAAGCATAACTATTTAGGTCATACTTGTTTGAGACCATCTCATCCTTATCTGTGAGACAAGTAATACATTGTACTTGTTAGGACAAATGTAATACTTTTACATTTTAATAAATATTTTATTTCTTATTAATTTATATTTTTTTTATATAAGTATTACATTTAATTTTAAAACATCTGTCTCACGGACAAAAATCTGCGAAACTATTTCACACAAATTATTGCCGAACTATTTTATTTCTTACCCGTCATTAAATATTAAAATAGAAAACTGTTTCACACAAATTATTGTCGAACTATTTTATTTCTTACCCGTCATTAAATATTAAAACAGGAAACACTCCAACTAACAACATTGACTTGTACGTGTGAACTCATCGCCAACATATTCCATTTTTTCCATGTTCATCCATTTTTCTAATTCACCTCGATTGACCAAACCAAACCCATTTATCTTCTCCTACACATTCTCTTAGATCTTATCTCTCAAGCTCTTAGCCACGTGTCTGGTGTATTTTCCCTTTTTCTAAAAAAAAATCTGGTATGTTCTTGGTTGAAGTAAAGAATTAAAAAGTATATTCCATAATTAAAAACATTATTGATGGTAAGAAAGTCTTCTATGTTTTCCACTTTCCAGGTTAGAATTGACGGCAAAATCTAGGCACACGTGTTAATAGGCGCGG